GAGTTGAGTTGGAGCGAGATTAGTTTCCAGGGGATTGTCTTCTCAATGAAGGACATTGCACTTAGGTAATATGTGAGGTGAAATATGAAAACCATGATGACGTGAAGAAATGGGAGGGTCTACAAAATGCTCTGTTAGCTGAAAAGACCATTTAGACCTATGAATACCACTTACATTAAGGTCACCTAATCTGCGCAAGACGACGTCACAGGTGCCTTCAAAGAGCCTTAGCGCACCCTCTTCTGTCCTACTTGGCTTGTATAAGGCCAGGGAGTTTTCAGTAGTCGGCTCGGCTGTGTCCTCCACATGGGGGTGGAATCCCTTTAGAAGAATATTGTCTTCTTGGCCGTATGACAAAAGGGCACAGCAGTTCGAGACAGCGATATAGTAGCTGTTTCTGTCTTAGTATATCATGGCCCATTTGAAGCACAATTATAGGGGTCAAACGCACCCTGATTCCATCCACTTCCTAGTGGTTCGGCCAATATGGTTATCTAGCATACTACAGAACTTGTCAACTGTCGGAAGGAAGTCGTCGGCGTATTTATTGCTAAACAAGATCCCATGCGCCTTTACGAAGGCCACATCAATCGCGATCAACCGAGAATGCTGAATACTAGTGGGGTCCAGAATAGGGTCGAATAGAGTCATAATTGACTCCCGCGCTGAGCTAAATGGAATGGGCACGCAGAGGGATTTAGTGTAATAATATAGTTGCTGAAGGGGATCCGGCCGGGCAAGGATTGCGAGATGATGATAAAGTCTTCCCGTAGTAGGCGCCTTATTAGACGCTTTCGAGTACCAGTGCCGGGACACGGACGTCCAAACCTCTCTGTCCCGGATATCATCGTCTTCAATCGCCATTCTACATCATCCATTGTAAGCATTCTGCAAGGACTATTCTACCACCCTTTACTGACCTATATCTTCCCAAATCTCCCAAGCACTCTATCCATGTATCTTCAAAAGCGGGGACCGTTTCATATAAAAGTGCCATCATCGAATATGCCAAGTAGATGAAGGTAAGCATATGCTCTAAAGAATGAGGTAGGCGATGGCGTAGCAGCTCGAGGAAGGAATGTATACCATGCCTCCACATCCTCGCCGGCATGGCATATTTAGACGCTAACCGTCTCAGCACCTGGCTAGCCGACGGATGTTGCGAGGCGAGAAAAAAATCGTGATGCTCATG